TTAGCTACTAACTGAAAGGTTGGAGGTGTGAATCCACCAGCCAGTCCTCAAGACAAAGACGTGGATTACAGACTTGGAAACCCTATGGGACAGTTCCACTCTGTCTTGTAGGGTTACTATGAGTCAGAATCAACTTGGCTGCAACAGGCTTGGCTATTGGATAGGGGATATATGTCAAAACTAGCCAGCAGAACTTTCTGTGGTCATAGACATGTTCTGTATAGGTGCTGGCCACTGTAGTAGCCACCAGCAATGCCTGGCTATCAGGCACTTTGAAATGGGGCTAGTGGGACAGAAGAACTGAGTTCTGAAATTGAATTTCACTATTAATAGTCACATGTAGCTCGTGGCTACCGCATTGGGCAGTGTAGATTAAGCAGTGCTCTGGCGGTGTAGTGGGTATGACATTTGGCTGCTAACCAGGAGGTCGGTGGTTCAAACCCACCAGCTGCTCGGCAGGAGGAAGAGGAGGCAATCTACTTCCATAAAGATTTGCACCCTTGGAAACCCAATGGAGGTAGTGGGTTTAAATATGCATGGTGACATCGAGATGTATTCCTGTTATACCAAGAAAACAAACTCATTTGCCATGGGGTTGATTCTGACCCACAGCGCCCCTGGAGGACAGAGTGGAACTGCACCACAGGGTTTCCAAGGCTGTCATCTTTGTGGGAGAGCTCTGGTGGTGTAGTGCCTAAGGCACTTGAGTGCTAACCAGAAGGCTGGCAGTTCAAACCCACCAGCCACTCCTGGGAAGGAAGACTGGACAATCTACTTCTGTAGAGATACCGCGTCAGAAACCCAAGGAGGGGTTGCTATGAGTCAGGATCAACTTGACAGCAGCGAGTTCAGTGTTCTGGTCACCTTTACGAACGGCGACTACCAGATCCTCCTCCTCCAGCGCGGCTGGTAGGTTTGAACCGCCGACTTTTCATTTATTGGCTTTAACTACTGTTCCACCAGGACACCTTTTCTGTGGAGAAAGCCCTTGTGGTGCAGTGGCTAAGCGATCAGCTGCTAGGCTTCTAACCCAAAGCCTGGCAGTTCAAACCCACCAGCTGCTCTGGAGGAGAAAGATGTGGCCATCGGCTTCCATAAAGATCGCCTTTCACCAACTAGAGGATAGACACCTGTTAACGTGGGAAAGGCAACATCCAGCAAGGGGGCGGTCAGCGCCAAATGATCAGAGAAGACAGGGGAGGTACCCCAGTGTCAAAGACAACAGAGGTAAATACTGTTACACACCCAATCCTGCAGGAACATTAATTACAACAACCCGCTGTGTACACAGATAGACACGCAAGCTGAACAGACGTGGAAGGGAATGAGAGCAGGCCCATGAATATATGGACGTCTGACAGAGGGTGTTTTACACGTGGATTCACATCCACTGCAAATATATCTATGAATACAGGCCAGCAAACGGGGAAATCATGAAAACGTCTCAGCCGTAACCAAACACCTTCAGGGATGAAGTCTTAGCTCCGGCGCAGGGATGGCTCAGGATTATAATCTCGGGGGACATCAAGGTCAAAGAAAATGTTCTACAACCTGCTTTGGTGCGTAGCAGCTGGGGTCTTAAAAAGCTTGTGAGTGCAGCCAAACACCTTGAGGAGGTGAGCCACCGGGCCCACGGGCTCAGGACCATGGTTGCTGGGACATCAAGCTCAACTGGCGTAACGTACTGCTCAAAAGAACACTGTTCCACATCCTACTTTGGTGAGTAGCGACTGGCGTTTTTAAAGCTTGCAAATGGCCATCTAGACACAACATGGGTCTCTCCTCATCTGGAGCAAAGAAGAATGAAGAAAACCACAGACACATGGGAATAATTAGCCCAACAGACCGGTGGACCGTGTGAACCTCAGCCTACACGCCCATGAGACCAGAAGAACTAGATGGTGCCCAGCTACTACTGTCAACCACTCAGAAAGGGATCAGTGCAGGAGATCCTGGATAGAGCGGGAGAACAACGTGGAACAACATTTAAAATCATTAAAAAAAAAACAGGTTTGCTGGTCTGATAGAGCCTGGTGAGACACCCCTGAGACTACAGCCCCTAGTTACCCTTCAGGTCTGGAATTGAACTCACTGTAGCGGCTTCCAGCCAAACAACAGGCATGTAGGATGAACATTTCCATGAGGTGGAGACACTCCCTAGAACGACCAATCATGGGAGAACGGAAGGCCGGTGTTTGCACCAGGAGATAGCTCAGGGGGTCGGAATGTATACGAAAGACGGACACAGAGGAAAGAAAGAGAGACACGGAGAAGGACACAGGGAGAAGCGGGGTGAGTGCTGTTACACGGTGGGGACTGCAATCAATGTCATGAAACAAAATGTGTCTGAACTGTTACATGGAAAATGAGCCTGCTCTGAAAACTTTTACCCGAGTCACAATAAAAATAAAAATTAAAAAGAAAAGAAAAGCTTGTGAGTGGCCATCTAAGGTGCAACTATTGGCCTCTCCTTGTCTAGGGCAAAGAAGGGAAGAGGGCTCACGCGAACCTCAGCCACCAGGACCCCAAGAGCAGATGAACTAGATGGTGCCCGGCTACCACCACCAGCCACTCTGACAGGGATCGCAACAGGAGGTCCTGGATGGAGTGGGAGAAAAATGTGGGGCGAAACTCAAAATCATAAACAAAGAGCAGGCTCACTGGACAGACAGTGACCGGTGGAACCCCGAAGACGACCCCCTTGGTCACTCTTCAACCCTGAAACCGATCTCACGCCTACACCTGGATTTTCAGTCAAACAACGGACAGGTGTTGAAGGTGAGAAATAACACGAGGGCCTCCTTCGAACAAGCAACCACTAAGGATCCAAAGGGCAGCGTCTGCCCGAGGACAAAGTTCAGACAGAGGGAGGGTTGGGGGAGAAGGAGGAACGAACACAAGAAACACTGAAGGGCGAGTGGTGTGACATAGAGGGGCCCATGATCAACGACACGACACAAAATGACTGAACGAAAAACTGATTTGGTCTGTGAACCTCAACCCAAATCACAAGAAAAAGCAAAAAAAAAAAAAAAAAGACAGCCTTGGAAACTGTACGGGGCAGTTTTACCGTCTCTAGAGTTGCTTTGAGTCAGACTCAGGTAGACAGCAACAAAGGTTTGGTTTTGGTTTCATCTTAAGGAAGCCGACAGCCTGGTCCTCTTTCTCGGGCCGCTGGGTGTGTTTGAAATGCCAAGCCCTTCATCACTGCGCCATGGGGGCTCCAGGTAAAGGTGTGGGGTTATAAATGTTTGTAAAATGCATTTACCCAATAGCTACATACTGAAGTCTTGACAGGTAAAAACACTGTGGGTGTCTGCAATTTACCAGAGCTGAGTGTGTGGTGGAATGGGGAAGTGGGAGAGACCGGACAACAAAGAACGATCATGGGCCGATCACGGCTGAAAATCAGTGACGGGGATTCACGGGGTTGGGGGGGCAGCACGATCCCGTTCTGCTGTTTATAGATGGTTTGCAATTTCCCACGATTAAAAAGGAAACAGAACAATCAAAGGAAAGCCACTTGGTTAGATCCCGTCTCCTTCGCACTCCACGCAATTAACACTTGGGCCACTCTCCCTTGGACATCTGTCTTTCCCGGCAGCCTGGGAGCTGCAAGAGGGTCAACATGGCGCCCCTCCCCTCTCTTTGCCCAGGGCTTGGAATGACTGTTCCCCCACCCCCACAGGCCCTCAACCCATGACCCTCAACCATAATCAACCCCTGGTCACTCCTACTACCCTGAAGCCCTCACCTGGCCCTCTCCACCCCGCCTCAGACCCAGCCGCTCTGGGAACACCCCAACACAGCACATTCCGGGTATAATTCTATCAGCAGCCGTTGCGTGCATGATTCTGACTCATTGCAACTCCCCGTGTGTTAGAACTGTGCTTCACAGGCTTTTCAATGGCTGCATTTTGGGGACGTAGATTGCCATGCCTTTCTGTTGAAGCACCTCTGGACTCAAACCCCCAACCTATGGGTTAGCACTGCCCTCTAGTTGGTAAGGGTTAACTTAAAATTAGGAGCTCTGGTGGTGTAGTGCCTAAGGCATTTGACTGTTAACCAGAAGGCTGGCGGTTCAAACCCACCAGCCACTCTTCAGAAGGAAGATGGGGCAATCTACTTCTGTAGTGAAACCTTGGAAACCCAAGGAGGGGTTGCTATGAGTTGGAATCGACTTGACGGCATATTACAACAATAACAGCTTAAAATTACTATCACAAGACCATCATCTGACCTACAAATAACCCAATGCCTTTGAGTTGATTCTGACTCACAGTGACTCTCTGTGTTAGAGACTAGAACTGTTCCATAGGGCTTCTTGGCTGTAATCTTTAAGGAAAGGAGCCCAGGTGGTGCAGTGGTTAAACGCTGGGCTACTCACTGAAGGGTGGGCGGTTCGAACCCACTAGCTATTCTGTAGAAGAAAGATGTGCCAGTCTGCTTCTGTAAAGATGACAGCCTTGGAGACCCTGTGGGGCAGTTCCACTCTGTCCTCTAGGGGCGCTGTGAGTTGGAATCAACTGCAGTGAGTTTGGTTTGGTTTAATCTTTAAGGAAGCAGATCACCAGGCTTTTCCTCTGCAGTGCTGTTGGCTGGGTGCAAACCGCCAACCTTTTGGTTATTCGTTTGTGTTGTTTGTACCACCCAGGGTCCACACACCTGCAAAGCCTCAATTATAATCCTTCCTGTTATCAAATAGGCAGGTGATGTTCACTCAGCTGTCTGCTGGATGAACGTAGGCCTGGAGGCCTCTGGGAAGGGAACAACTGAGTTGGAAGAAGACTTCTCAGAGGAAGTGATATTCAGCCTGGGCCTTAAAATCTAACTGGGATGAGGCAGGAAGGGTGTTCTAGGCCAGGGGAGCAGCATGAACAGATGCTCAGAGGAAGGACGTGGCTTAGATGGGGAATGGTCAGTCGGGTCATGGGGCTGGAATGTGGACCCCGATTCGTAGGCGGGCAGACCAAGCAAGAGCGATTCAAGGGGCTCCTCACCCTTCCATTCGAGGTTCCCGCGGCCTCTCTCCAGGTGGCCCAGCAGCCGCTGGGGACAGGAGCTGAGCAGGAAGGCTCTCTCCTTGTTGACCACCTCGTCCTCCTTCATCCACAGGTTCTTGATGGCTGCCACCTCAGGCCACTCCCCACTCCACTCCCCCGGCTTGGGGAGGAAGGTCATGAACTCCTCGCCATTCAGGGCAAACTTGGCCGTGGGTATTGAGACGTTGTCTGGGCCCAGCTCACAGCCAAGCAGTCCCTGAAGGGTCAGGGGCTCTGGGGGCCGCATGTGGGTGAGCAGGGCCCGGATGGCCTGACCCACAACCCCTCCACCCCAGACCTGGGAATACAGACCGCTCAGCCGTCTCTCCCTCAGACGCGGGAGTCCAGGCCCCCAGCCCCTTGTCCCTCAGCCCTGGGCCTGCAGCCCTTCTCCCTCAGACATGGGGTCAGGCCCCCGCCCCCCCCACCTCAGACCCAGGCCCCCAGCCCTCTTCCTTTGGACCCAGGGTCCAGGACCCTCTCCCCTTTCACTGGGGGTCCCCGTCCCCAGCCCCCCTCGCTCATATCCAGGAGTCCAGGCCTACAGCCCTCCTCCCTCAGACCTAGGCCTCCGGCCCCCTCCTCCCTCGGACCCAGGGTCCAAGCCCCAGCCCTCCACCCTTGGACCTGCAGTCTAGCCCCTTCTTCCCTCGGATCCAGGCCCCCAACCCCCTCCTCCCCTGGACCAAGGAGTCCCGACCCCCAGCCTCCTCCGCCCTCGGCGGCCCAGGCCCAGGCCTCACCATCTCTCCCCAGGACGCCGAGAGCTTCCAGGAAGAGCTTCTCCTTGCTCCGCAGGTCGGTGGTCTCCTTCTCCCAATACCAGGACACCTGGTCTTCCCAGATCCACGCCCCACACGGTTCAGCCTCGGACCGCACGTTGCTGTAGCGCAGGTACTGCTGTGGGCCCAGCCAGCCCGTGGCCCAGAAGGCAGGAGTCCCCGGAGCAGGGGCCGACACAGCAGTGAGGTGGTACAGGAGGGCGAGGCGACTGTCTGCGGGAGATGGGCGGGGTGCACAGACGGTGGGGGACAGG